TAAAACTTTAATAATTTTAAAGTCCTAAATATAAGGACCTCTTACTTAATTCAAATAAGGAAACTTATTTAATTTCAAACTCCTAAATATTAGCTAGAAGAATAATCAAATGACTATTTCCTCTAGTGTGAACTCTAATTTAAAAGTGTAAAAAGGTGAACGATATTTCGCTATTAGCCTTCGTGCTTTTAATATAGTCAAGTGAGAAAAAATCTAATAAGTAAATTTTTATTAATTTAAAATTTCTTAATATTAAGAAAATAAGTAATGACCCCAATTATTCTATATTTTAATTAGGAAAATAAGTAATGACACCAGTTATTCCTTATAAATTACAACAACAACAACAACAACAACAACATACCAAGTATAATCCCACAAGTGATGTCTAGGGAGGGTAGTGTGCACGCAGACCTTACCTCTACCTGGCGAGGTAGAGAGATTGTTTCCGATAGACCCTAGGTTTATTCCTCATAAATTGTATTTCTTAATTTTAATTTAATATGAAAGTAAGGAAGTAATTGAAAATATATTATTATTCACTGCTTTTCAACTATGATAATATCTTGGTTTAACTTTGCATAATCATTAAAAAATTAAGAATAATATATTCAGTTTGCATTAAATAAGATATTATATTACTTAATTTAATCAAAATATAATAGAAAAATATTATGTTAAGAAAAATCGTTCCTTTACATTCTAAAGTATTGTCCACCCTTCGTTTACTTGTTATTAAAATAAATTTCTTAAATTGAATTTATTTTTAATTTATTTTCATTCTTAGATTTTAAATTGATACGACATCTAGGGTCAAACTTCCTAATATTTGGTAATCATTTTTAATATTTAGCTTAGAGTTATTGCTTAAATCTTTGATGTTATAAGTATGAATTTTAAAAGGAAAGCATTTATATAGCTAAAATCTTTCTTTATTTTAAATTCTTCGATATAGAAGTTTCTATATAGTTCGAATAAGGAGTGATTTAATATTTAAAATTTTAATTAATTTCGAAGCTCTAAATATTAAAAAATAATTAAATGATTATTTCTAAATATAAGAAAAACAATGAAATGACTATTCCTAAATATTAAGGAGATAATTAAATAAATATTCCTAAATATTAGGATAATAATTAAAAGTTTATTTTGTTTAGTCTGAACTCTAGTTTTAAAGGGTAAAAAAAACGAACAATATTTCGCTAAGGACTTTTGTATTTTTAATATAGTATCAACAAATAGATATAGATAAATTAGTATTACTAGGAACTCTCAAAATCCAACGTGAATCTTATTTAAAAAAACACTAATAACATTCTCTAGCATACACATAGGAGTTTTTCCTCATTGTTCGTGTTTTTTTTAATCATATCGCGAAACGATTTCTTTTACCAGAAAGATTTCTAAATTACTTGGAGTGCATGTTAGAGAGTGTGTTGTCCCATTTCCCAAACTAAAATCATTGTCGAATAAAGACAAACCGAATAGTATCATTATGTTTTCCTACTTTTCTTTATCCTGTTTTTTTCCCCTCATAAAAACATATAATAATATTAACACCACATGATTAATTAGATAATCTGTCTCTCTCTCACAGTACACTCACTCAAATTGATCGTATGTACATATTTACCGTTTTACCTTGTGCATTTGTATAATATATGTTGCCCATACACATTTGCCACTGCTTTTACATTTTGTAGTATGATGGATTTATTGCTCATGACTTGGTCAATGCAGATACTGTTTTTCCATATTTAGCCGCCACATCTTTTTTTCTTTTGTTGGCTCTTGAAAAGATAATCATGAAAAACTCAAAAAGTGCTATTGCAGTTAATTATCTATTGTATGAAAATGATATTCCATATAAAAAATGGGGTTTCTAATGCAATTAGAGAAGTCAATAAAAGACAATAGTTTGATCAAATTGTTTGTCAACAACACTTTTTATTGCAGGGTTGAAGCGAAAATACAGCAAGAGGTTTAAAGTGACAATTTGTGACATATTATATCAAGTTTAATAACAGGGAATGTAGTTGCAAAATTTAATCTTGTCCTTTTTTCATTGAAAGTCATGTAAAGTCAATTTTGTCATCAAAGTTCTTACAGTGAATAACTATGTATCGCGGTATTGATTTGAATTCTAGAAGAAGACATGCACGGTATTATTATATAAGCTGGTAATTTTACGTCTCTATTCACTTAGTTACCTGGCCTTTCTCCCTTTCTAACCCAACTAGGGAAATTATACCCATATCTGAATTAATTAATTTATAAAAAGAAAAACCCAGCTGGGGAAAGTTTTGTAAGAATCGTCTCTCTCTCACACCATTAAATATAGCTTGAGTACACAAATGTCAGAAATTTCTGCACGGGTTTTTGTTTTTAAAAAAGTTATAAGGTTGAATCTTGAATGATAACGAAATGAAATGAAATGAAAGGGAAGGAAATTATATTGTTGAATACTTGAATGATAAAAGAAGGAAATTCAACTCTAAATTTCTCATCTAGCCACACAAATTTTTGTGATTTGTTTTAAATCAAAAATTTTAAAAATATTTATTTATTTCTTAAACTACGTGTTCAAGTCAAATACTTCCCATATAAGCCGTACTAAGTAACTTTGAGGGGACCATGCATGTCTGTTAGGGAATTAATCAATGACTCAATCATGTCATGGTAAATAGATAAAGTTGCATTTAATTAGTAGAAGAAAGGGGTCTACTCGTACCAATGAATGATAATATTATACTATATATGCAATTCAACGTCTCCATCTCTCCTTCTTTTTCTTTCTATTTCTCTTTCTCTCTCTCTCAGTCTCTTTCAATACTCTTCAAATACAAATCAAACTCTCTTTTTAGATCTATAATAAAATGTTGATTTTTTGAGCTACTTTATGAGTGAATGCAAAAAGTTGGTACAATTAGGCAAAAGTTTAAAAAAATAAAAATAAAAGTTTGAATATTGTTGAAAGGCAAAACAGTACTACTATAGGATAAAGAAAGATGAGATATTTGTGGGTAGGGCAGAAAACAAAAGAAAAGACAGAAATTGCACGTCAGACTTAGCAGTAGCTCGCTGGAGTGGTCTAATTCCATCGTATAGAGAGAGAGAGGATTACAGAGTTGATATCCTCTTCTCATCCACACCTCTCTCTCTCTCTCTTAAATCTTTTCTCCTTATCTTGTTTTGATTCATATGGTTCTTTTTAGTTGCAAAGAAACTAAACCTTGTTTGTTGGGGGTGATGCCAAACTAAAGGAAGAAGAAATCAGCAAGAGTATAGGGAATAGAAGTTTTTGAGGTTCAAACAACTACAAAAAGAAACTAGATTTTTGCCTCTATTCATGTCTATTTTCTTCACCTAGCTAGCTACTTTAGCCTTTTCTAGTTACGTTTGGTTTTGTCTTTAGATCTAGCATACACATCCACTCAATCTCTCCTTCTTTGTTCTAGTCTTAAGCAAAAAAGCCTTTGCTTCTGTAGCTAGCTAGCTAGATGATGAATATTCATCAAAAGCAACAACATGTTCATATAGTAGAGGAAAACATGTCCAATTTAACTTCTGCATCTGGTGAAGCAAGTATATCAGCTTCTTCCAACATGAATGATACTACTACTGGAGGCATTTTCATTCCCCAGAATCAAAATCCACACCACCAACAACAAATCAAGAAAAAGAGAAACCAAGCAGGCAATCCAGGTCTTGATCACTCTTTATATATATATCCAAATTAAAACTTAATTTCTTTTGGTTTTCAAACTGTACGTTGAATTAATTGTATAAATTATCTTACTTAAAAGCTTAAACCGTTTGTAGAGGGTAAATTTGAACTCAAGATCTCTTGTATGCTCATTTTTAAGCTGTTAGAGAAAGATACTTTTATTAGTTATGTTCCCCGACACAAAGTCATCAGCTCAATATTTTCTTGAAACAGATCCTGAAGCAGAAGTGATAGCTTTGTCACCCAAGACACTACTGGCAACCAATAGATTCTTTTGTGAAATCTGCAACAAAGGTTTTAAAAGAGATCAGAATCTGCAACTCCATAGAAGAGGGCACAATTTGCCGTGGAAGCTAAAGCAAAGAACAAATAAGGAAGTGATTAGAAAGAAGGTTTATGTTTGTCCAGAGCGCAGCTGTGTGCACCATGACGCATCTAGGGCATTAGGTGACTTAACTGGAATCAAGAAACACTTTAGCAGAAAGCATGGTGAGAAGAAGTGGAAATGTGAGAAATGTTCAAAGCGTTATGCAGTTCAATCTGACTGCAAAGCTCTCTCCAAAACCTGTGGCACTAGAGAATACAGATGTGAATGTGGTACCCTTTTTTCAAGGTAATTAACCAATAAAAATAAACATAATTTTTTGGGAACACGAACATATAAGAGTCCATCTTCTCTTTTTTCTTTTTTTATTTGGTGTTTGCTATTGGACAATTAAATTCAGATTTGCACCGAAAAATTATATATTTGGAGTAAATTAAGTGTTACCTACTAAAGACAATTTCATATTCGGGGTTCACGACATAGTATTACCACTCAACTATAGTCCTAATTAGTCTCTTTTCTTTGTACTTTTTATGATTTTGAATTCTCATTTTTTGTTTATTTGGGTTCTAAGTGCCTAGTCTAGTCGTCTAAAGTGATAATGGGATTATTGTAGTGGTGTGGATTCTGTGGAATGATTGAATAATATAACATATCAGTATCATATTTCCACTCATTCCCATAAGGGGACAAAACTAATAACACCAACTATTGGTCATTAATCTTTTTAGCCATGTTTTTGGGTATGTAAGTTTGTGTATTTTTCTGACGATATGATAGTGTTTTATTTCTATTATAGCACTTAAATTTTATCATCCTTTTTTCTTGTTTATTATTGCAGACGGGATAGTTTCATCACACACAGAGCTTTCTGCGATACTTTAGCAGTGGAGAGTGCAAGATCAGCAATAACTGGAGGAAATCCAATAATTAGTTTCCCATCCCAAGCAGCTGGTAGTAGTTCAACATCTCATATGAATCAGCTCCAGTTTCAAACACCTCAGTATTTTAACAGCCATGAATTCCCAGCTTCTGCGGCATTTTCCATGAAAAAGGAGCAGCCAAGTCATGATTTCAATGTTCTAAGACATTATACTGAGATTCCTCAATGGCTAATGACATGCCAACCATTTGTTGGAGCTGGTCCTGGCCCACCCTCATCACCTGCTGGCTTTAGCTCATCAGTATTCCAAGCCACTAGGTTAGATCAAGAATACACGCAGAGCCACCAAGATTTAACGTCAACTGATTTCCATGACAACCCAAACCCTAATTTTGGAGGTAATCAACTTTTTGATCAACTAAATGCTTATACTCATAGGAGTACTATTTAATCAACAATATCTCATCTAAATGCTTATATTGTTCGAGAGATCACATTTTTTTAATTGATTAATTATATTGTGTCAACACAAATAATAGCATAATAAAATAAATAATTTACTTCAGACATTCCTTATAGAATCGCTTATTAGTTTTGAATTTACATAATAGATAAAAATATCAGGGAATTTTTTGTGATTTATTGTATTTAGATCTTAGTTGGTATTTAAAATATCCCATTCAAGTAGACAACGAAATGGATGAATAAAACAAAATTGTTTAAAGTTTAATTATTTTGGCAATATGAATGTTCTCACGTGTGTGTTTGGTTTTTATGAACCAAACGCATGAAATATTTTTTAGGTGGT